AATTGCAATGTTTCACAACTTCATTAACGTGCTGTTTCAAAATGGCGATGTCAATGCTAGCGTTTTATTTTGAAAGTATAACCGGACGTTACATAATTATTGTTTCTAACTTTACTGGACATTACATATTTGTTGTAGCCAATGTTGCTAATTTGACAGTGGAGCCTTAAACGTCTAAAAATTACACTAAAGTGGTGTCCTGGGCGTTTACAAGTGACGCCAAATGTCAATATGTGATGAGTTGGAAGTGAGAATATGTCGATTAGTGGATGAAGCCATTACGCAGATTTCAGTGGAGAGCAATAAAGCCAGTTTTGGACCAATAAAATACTACTACAGGGCTACTTCCTGTTGGCACCAGCGCCTACTGCACATGATCGCACAGCATAATCGTGGTTTAATGATGTAATGCAACGGTATAAACGCCGTAATTCTGATAGCTGCATTTTTTTGGTGGGCTTCACTATTCCAACTGTGGGTTACCCCCTTGGTGCTCCCCCTACCTTTGCCTACCACTTCTTGTCACCTACGCCCCCTTATATACAAACATGTGCATTTAATCACTGCCACCCAGTGTCCAAAATACTAATATAAATATATCCAAACAAAATTAAATACCATGCCTACAATGAACATTAATGGCTCCTACAGAAAATAAAATAAAATATATACAGTTATACAGACACGTAACCATCCAGAACATTCCACAGTGCATTTTTTGAATTTGCATCTGGGAGAATGTAAACAGCAGCAACAAGATGATAATTCACATTAAAGAGTCCCTCTTGACTAGCACCAAGCATCATCGATGTAAAACACCTACTCTCAGCTTGAGGGAGTTTTGCACTGATAGCTCGCCACACGGACCGCCCACCAAGTGCTTGATCTGGAAAACTGATGAGGCACGTCTGTGTAAAGATTTGGGCACAATGGTCTCTGATTTCCTTTGCTTGGCCAACGTGAGTCCCACTTTGTCCAGACCTTTAAGAGCAACTGTAAGTCCAAGCTGGGCCAACATGGTTCCTTTTGCTGCTCTCTCTTCTGAGCGATCACTGCACTTTCATGGTGCCTGGTCCGGTAAATTGGGCTGGGTGTATCGTGGTCCACTGCTCTTAATCCAAAACCCCCGTCTTTATTATGACTATATTTCTGTCAGACCTAACACGTATTTCGGCTGTTTTTCATGACATGGGCGTTGGCCACTCAGCTATAGCCTGAACCTCAGCTGGGTCCGTCTTCCCCTGCCCCTGCTCAGTCATGAAGCACAGGAAACTCATAGAGGTGGCATGAACTAACATTTTTCACGGAGAAGATGAGTATATCATCAAGGTGCACAAAGATGAAGCGGTTCAGCATGTCGTTGATGACCTCACTGACCATGGCTTTGGTGAGGCCAAAAGGCATTATGATGTATTGAAAATGGCTTAGTGGTGTGTTAAAGATGTTTTCCATTCATACCCTTCATAAATGTGGATGAGATTGTGGGCATTTTGGAGTTCCATCTTGGAAAACACTGCAGGATCAATGAGGATGTTATTTTTTATGTTAATGTTGCTGAAACCACTAAAGTCAGGGTGGGTCAGGTTGGAGAGTTGTCTAGAGGGTAAAGGGGCAACCAAGTAGCAGGTGTATTGTCATATGGTCTATGTGGTAGCAATGTTTGGGCTTGTTGTTTCCTAAATACCTCGCCTAAGTCATGGCAAACTGAGAGGACTAATGAGAGGACAGTTGGCTCAGAAGTGGGTGCTGCAGCTTAATGAATAGGAGCAAGAGCTGACTTGAGATGCTGAAAGTGACAAAGATGCTACAACAGAACCAGGAGACCAGTCAGTGTAGGAGTCATAGTGTTGAAGGCAGGGCTGTCCTAACACAACAGGCACATGAGGTGAGGAAACGACTAGAAGCTTGATGGTAATTACCTGAGAGGACGAGGTTCAGGGGAGCGGTGATGTTGATGCGAGCCATGGGTTTTCCATCCAGAGCATTATTGCTAGGAGCAGGCAGAACTCCCAGCTTGGGTAACCAAGGTGGAATTAATACAACTGTCATGCACTAGAGCTAGAGATAGCATAGGGACAGAATTATTATGGCACATGAGTGAAGCTTTAAACTGCATGCAGTTGTAATGGGCTTGTAGTGTGCTGGAGGTATGGCTCCTCAGGACCCCTTCAGTTACTCATAAGTCTGCTCTTTTGGCTGGGACAGGAGGCTAAGAAGTGACAGGCTTTGCTACAATAAATGCACAACCCTGCTTGCAGTCGCCATGGACACCCTGGGGAGGAGAGGTGGGCTCTTCTGCGGTGGGTTGAGGAGAAGAAATGAAGGGCAGGCCGGTGGCAGGAGAGCTGTCATGACTACTGAAGGGATTAGATTTGGGCTGGAAGTGTGGATGAACTGGTGGCCGGACTTTTCCTTGTGTATTAAACGCACAATATAGCATGTCTGCTGCTAGGGGTCTGTCAGGTCAAAACAAAAACAAAAGCCGTAATTATCTTGTGGGAACAAGTTATTATCTTGCTTCCTTGTTATCTTGTTATCATAATCTTTTGCTCCATCAGGGCACAAAGAAAAGCAAAGCTGTCTTCATAGAGTCAACAGCTTTCTGCTATGTAAAGAGCATTACAGGGTCACAGCACTGCTTGTGTAGCTGTAAACTTTAAACTCAACTTAAAGTTAAAGACAGTTGATGCTTTCACTTCTGGGACCTAATGGGTTTTAGCCACAATTATTTGCATATAAAGTCAGTCTGACGAGCATGGTCTGAAATTACAGCTAGAAAATGAAATGTCTAAAAGAACATAAGGAGCAGTATACTGTTAATAATGCAGCCGCATGTATTACACTGGGGCTTTTTTTCTTTTACATAAATAAAGCAAACATAAAGCCGTCCCTGAGTCTCGTCTGTGCTGCAGCTACTTGGCCAGTCACCGTTACTCACATCCTTCAGCTGTTTAGTCAAATTGACTGGATTGGGTTGATTTTATGTGTGATCCATGACAGCCTCATATTATCCAATCACTTCTGGTCATCCGTCATGCCCTCATACTGAGCTGCGTGGTCAAAGACAGATCGAGAGAAAGAGAAAGAAAGCTGAGAGAGACAGAGAGCAAAAGAGAAACACTGAACCAAAACACCAGCTCTGGTTACAAACCACCAGAGACCGTCCTCCACTGCCAAAATCTCCAAATATGAACCCAAGCATTCTGGCTGCTAATTATTCCTAGAGCTTGGTCTAAACTAAATTTATGACACTAAGCTGGCGCTCCTTGTGGCATCATAAATTAAACTGGCAAAGTGTTTTAGAATCAAAACCAAGTCCCCCTGTCCTCCGGCGAAGGAAGGAAAATAAAAAGAGTGCAGAATGTAAACGTGGATGTTCACAGGGCCGACTCTGTGAACCAGCTCTCCATTTCTCAGCAGTTACTCTTATTTATTAATTTCTTTTCTGAGGCAGATGAAACCTAAATGGTGATGCTGTCCCTCCAAGAAAAAGAACAGCATCTGTTGTTTCAGCAACTGCCCCAAAAGTTACATTTGTTCATGTGACAGCGCCCTCCAGCGGCTGTAGCAATTATGACAACTGTCCATCAGGAGCAAAGGAGGGAAGTCAGGAGATGTTGGAAAGAGTCCACAGAGGGAGCAGGTCGGGCGGATGGATGATTCTTTAACAAGGGAGACATTAAACATGAGGTTATCAATGTAGCTAACCATGACAACGAAGGTCCCCAAAAGTTTTAATTATTAGAAATGTTTTAGAAGCTATATTTACTCTTTACTTTCCAAACATAAGGGAGTAGTCATTTTAAATATTTTGTAGCTTTATTTATTCTTTACCATAAGCGCTGTAGCTTAATTTGAGGTACTTGTACTTTACATGAGTATTCTTCTACTCCTCTGTAGTTCAGAGGGGAATATTGTAAGCTACGTTTGACTCCAGTTAGCCTATTTAATTTAACAAATCAATATTTTACATAAAAAGCAGTTCAATTAGCTCTTAGGTATTCATATAGCAGGAATAATCCTCCAATTATATAATAAGACACATATGGGATATGTAGCCTACAGACATGCAATTTGTAAATAATACTATTTGGCTTTAATCTATTAACTGAAGTGCTGAAATGTAGACTGTTTTTTTAGATGATATTTTTTAAAGCCTAAAAGTCTGGTCAAACATTAAACCACTAAATCATTTATTTATTTATTTATTGGTCTAAAAGGAGCCTATAGCCTACTTTAACTAAAAGTTAATCTGGTCACGGTTTGAGTCAATAGCACTGATGCAATACTTTAATAATGTATGATCCTGTTATGGTCTTAATATTACTGTTGGGTTATTCACTCAAATAAAAATATCATCTTGACCAAGTGACCTATCTTTGATTTTACTTGTCACTTAGTGTTGGTCACACAAATTAAAACAGCAAAGGATATTATGAACAATCAGTGACAAATAATGGGTACATTCATTTTACTAGGGTAAATAAATCAACAGCAAAAGTAACACTGCTAAAAACAACAACATATCAATATGTTAAGTAGCCTATAAAAATACTGTGGTGAGCCTATAAAATAGCCATTATGTGTAGGTTTTTCTATTATAGAAAATATCCACAATAATATTAAATGGTGAGTATTTTACTTTGAATATGCAAAGAACTCATCTTTAGTAATAATTCCGTACTTTTAATAACATTTTTATTGCTGGACACAAACTTGTAATGAAGTATGCTATTTTAAAATGTGGTTTTACTCATTTTACCTGAAAGATCTTAATACCTCTTCAAAAAACTTGAGTTTGTGCTGGTGACAGTGGGCTACCCTGACATCACTCCTTCACCCTTTTGTTTGGAGAAAGTGGAAGCCTAGAAAAACTGCTCCTTTCAAATGACATAATGCAAAGTTGTTACTTTCAGTTTTTTTCTTAGGGGGGGGCTGTTTTGTGCCATTCTGTGTTACAGCGTGGGTGAGTCATTGGTGGAAAGAGGGGAGGAAGATTTAAGAAGAAATATTGCTGTTAAATGAGTTTGGACAGCATGACATCACGGGGTAATTAAAACAGCTCTCTGGAATTCCGTTTCCAATTCCTGCGCTCAGGTTTGTTGGAGGAGTTTTTCGAGCACCTGCAGGTTGGTGTGTGAGTGAGATATTTTCACTGGACGGAGTTCAAACTTTGAAGGGAAAGAGAAAAAAACGGAGGCAGCGGCATTACGCCATTCTTGCCTCTCTTGGAAAAAAGTGGGATTTAAAGAAGTTTCTTACAAGATATCCAGCAGAATCGTGCCGTGGAGCGTTTAATGCAAGTCCACTTTTCTCTGCCTTTTCTTGGATTTCTATCACAGACAGGATCTCTGCAGCACTATGGTTCTTACAGATGACGGATGGGAGAATAAGGGTTTGCAGGATTTGTTTCTTCAACTTATAAAACTCAGTTATTGTCCACATCTTTGCTTTTACAACCTTGCATATGTCTATAGTCTATTTGAGACGGGAGAGGCACTTTTTATTCATTCTTCGTCTGGCAGAGCGCAGAGTGAACTCAGAGGATGAAAGACTCGGACGGAACAGGACTGCTCACTCTTCTTTTTCTAAACAAACAGGTCAATTCATTCTGAACAGACTGCGGTTTATTACAATGACGGCCTGGCAAAAGGCAAAAGGGCTTTAGGATGAAAGTTGTGAAGCGTCTCTCTCTTCTGCTGAGCTGCTGGACTCTCATTTACCTGCATCCCGTCTTCGGTTCACTCAGCCGGACCAGACCGACCGAGCACCACCGCCACCGGCTTGGAGAGGCAGCGGAGCGCACGGCAGGCGGCGGCGAAGGAGATCAAGCCAACGTAAGAGCCGGCGGAGGAATCGGTGTGTCTACACCGGCAGCGGGGAGGCAACTGGCGACCGCTTCTGGGACGTGGAAACCTTCATCAGTGAGTCCGGTGAGGATTACGCGGATCCGCGCAGGCCCGCCCTTAATAAAGGGCGAGACGACTGTTATTAAAAGCAAATTTACAGCGGGGACATCTCCGTCCTCATCCTCGCCATCGCGCGCCGAGGCCGTGCCGGTGAACCGTGCACAGCAGCAACAACAACAACAACGGGACACATCAGTTAACTTAGGGCGCAAAGAGGCTGTGCGCTCCTGGCTGCCCGTCGGGGATGCTCACAGCAAAACGCATGCTCCCGCGGCTTTTAGCGCACATGCAGCAGGTAAAGGAGTCGGGACTGCTGATGGAAGGGGAGGCTCACCGGGGAAACACTTTGGGAAAGTTGCTTCCAGAGCGAGTGCAGCTGCTCCAGTGCGCACCGGGCCTCCCCAAAGAGCCACCGCTGCGCAAACGCAGCAGCAGCAGAACGCGGGTCCGGTGGCGCAGCGGGGAGCCAGCAACAAGGCCCAGAAACTTGGTGACCGGGAAGCGCATCACAAACAGCCGCTGGTCACTCCTCATGACTACATGCTGTCGCTGTACTGGTCTCTGTCCACAGGGGACCTGAACAGCAGCGCTCTGCACGAAGCGGGTCTGGCCAACACCATCACCAGCTTCGTGGATAAAGGACAAGGTAACCGCTCTCTACCAAGTTTTCTCTTTCTATGCGCGTTCACTTCTTTTCCCCGTCAACCGGGGATCATCAATCTGCCTACAAATAACACGACTTTTACACTTTCAGATAGCTGATAGCAGCGTTGCTGATGCTGTTTGAGTCTGAATGAAACGTTCTGTCACAAACTAGATATGGTGTCTAAAATCACGCTGAATTAGAACAAACGTTTCTGAACGAAAAAATCGTCCAATCTTTAAATTAACAAAACATTTTATACATTCAAGTTGAAATTCATTAAACTTACAAAGACAATGTTATGAACTTAATTATTTTTGTTTAAAGGAGAAACACAGGTTACATTAACCTCCATACTTTTCAAAAATAATCTTTAAAATAACACAAATTATGAATATTACTTTGGTAATATACAGACATGACCATGTTTAATGTGGATAATCTCTTTGCTGCAGTCTATCATATCTCCATGTCTCAGCATCAAAGGAAGTCCATGAACTAGGTCTACTTGTTCCCCTGTGCAACAGTGAAGCAGTAGGCTGCTGTAACCTAATGATTATTTTCTCTTTTGTTTGAAATCCACTTTGTCCATCGATTTTATTTGGAGTACGTGATTCACTGCAGTAGTGCTGATTATCTGAAATCATGAAAGTTGACAAAAGAAGTGGCAAAACATGAGCTGGTGGGGAAAGAGCTGAGGTGGGAAGACAGTGCTGAGCAAGAGTCTGACTTCTGGGCTGCTGAGTGTGGAGAAGGCTGAAAGATCTGAGGGAGGGAACTGGAGGTCAAACACCAGTCTGGAGGTTACCAGAAGAGGGCGGGGCTGGAAACAGGGCTGTAAATTGTCTAAATGTAGACATGTCTGTGTTCGGGAGTCCATGAGGTAAGAGAGCATCTGGAGGGGAGTCAGGAAGGTCATATGCACACACACAGAGGGAATGATGGGAAAGATATGACTCTGTTACTCATAAGGGTGCTGGAACTGACTTCAAAGCTGCAGGAAGCTGCTGTGAGCTGAGTGAGCTATCACACGTCTAAATCTCACTCTAGTATGTTTTTAAAGGAGCAGTTCAAAGTTTTGTAAAACATGTTCAGTAGTTTTCTTGTGGAGAGTTACATAAGAAGATTTGTGAGAGGATCTGTATGCTAAATGTGTAGCTGGAGCTGGTTAGCTTAGCTTAGCATAAAGTCTGGAAACCTATAATACTTGTAAAGCTTACTAATTAACACATTACATCTGGTTTGTTCAATCCATGCAAAACTGAAGCGTAAATATGTCAGGTTGTGTTTTCTTAGAGGAGTTATGTCCACAAATGGATGTTTTTACACTTTTACAATTTTTAACAGATTAAATAACAAGATATACAGTAGCGTGTTAATTAGCTAGCTTCAGGAGCTGCCAGGTAGATTTTTTCTTATAGTTGGACAGACACAGGCTAGCTGTTTCCAGTCGTTATGCTAGGCTAATCTGCTTTTGGCCATTGCTTTATATTTACCATACAAACATGAGGGTAGGATCTTCTTACATAACTCTCACCATGGCTGCATGTTTCCTAAAATGTTGAACTATTCCTTTAAGAAGGCCCTGAAAACCATTTTTCCAGCAGTTCCTGATGTAGAAGTTTAGCTGCTGAACGTTAACCGACAGAAATGAATATTTAATATTAGAGAGAAATATTTTGGTTTTGAAACCAAGTTTCCAGGTGCTTTAACATCTGGGGGATGCCTGTGCATATGCACGTACATGTGTATATATATATATATATATATATATATATACACATATATATTTATGTGTGTGCGATGTTGCATTTTGGTTTCTGTAAGTGTGTATGTGTCTGTGTGTGTTTGTATTTCTAGCCATCTGGCCAGTCATTGGCAGCGCTGCTGCTTTCTGTGATATAGGGCCTCAGGAGGGTAAATAAACACTCCTCACAGCCACAAGTAGGGTGGCCCCCCTGTGTAATGTTATCTTTACAGTGTAAAACTGTTTAAAACAATGTTTAAATGACCAGAGTTTAATATTTCTAGCCCTGCTAAAGGTTTACATTTCAAGCACTTAATGTACTTTTAATTTGGGCTTTATTTGTTTAGTGTGTCCTCAGCAAATCGCTGGTGACCTCCTCCGCATGTTTGAGTGGGTGAGCGCAGGAGTTACTGATGGCCTGACACATCTCTTCCCCCTCACATGTTCACATTAACTCATTTCTTACTTTGGTTCTTTGCCTCTCTACCTCTCTCCCTTATTTGCCACGTGTTGCTTAGATGTCAGCTAAGTCTCATATTACACATTATATATTACAGAAATCATACAGATTAATCAACAGCTCTCCAAATCAGTTTCAACAAAGACGGAATATTATAACTTACATATATAACTTATTGAATTTCACATGCCGATGACTCGCATGCCGATGTAATCTCTGCAACCTATGTCACTTCTCCACTCTAGTTGCTTCCACCTTCGACCCCTATGCATTCTCCTCAATAACGGTAAAATATGCTAGACACAGTCTGCTCCACACTAAGTTCTTGTCTGGACAATCGCTGCCCTCTGTCCATTAGACTGCTTGGGTTATTCCATCCCCACCATGATTTTCCAGTGTTCTAAGCAAGCTGGGAAACGGTGTCAGAGCCACTGAGAAATAAAAAATTATGTAAATCTAGAGATCCTACAGACCGCAGACTCTTCAGTCATCCTTTGCCTATGAAGGCAGCATGACAAGATCAGCTCTGCTACAGACACTACAAAATTATTTTCAACCGTCAAAAGCCCCATTTACCCCCCACCTCCTCAACCAGCCATATCTCAGATTTCTTTACTAACAAGGTAATGTCCATTAGTGGCCCCTTTATAGTTAGTTTTTATATAGTATATAGTTAATTTATAGATATCCCGTTGTTGAAAAAGTAAACCCAAAATTCATCTGAAGTTGAAAACTTTCGGCCTGTCTCACTCTTCCTATATAAGGTTCTAGAGCAGGCTTTTTCACCCAAGTCTCAGACTTCCTCTCTCAAAATAATCTACTTGATCAAAACCTCCTCCTGTCCCCAACTGAACGAGGCATCTCTGGTACAGCAGGTGCAGTCTGAGTCCTCCCTCACAGAGCGATCGTCAAAAGTGGCATGACAAGAGAGAGTCCAAACATCACTTTCTTTCCACTGGGGTACCACAAGGATCAGTCCTTGGTCCCCTATTCTTCTTAATAAACACCACCTCCCATCATCTGATTGCCTGCTCATGTGGTTTTTCTTACAACAGATCCACACGACCTACCCAGCTGAACTCCCTCATTCAGGTTTATGAGCCTTCCTGTTCACTAGGATCTGCAAATGAACGTCGACTTGTCCTACTGTCACTTGAAAGCAAGACATCTGTGGTGGAATGTGTTACCAAACTCACTTCAGTCAGCAGAATCCCTCAGAAATTGCTTGAAGACCTGTATCTTCTGAGAGTACTTACACAAATAATACACACTCTATCGCTCAATCCTTCTCTAGCTCTCTTCTAAAACAGAAAATAATTTTATGTTACTTCATACACCTGCAAGTCTTGTGTCAGGTGGAACATGAGTTTTGAAGCTCTTATTCTCAAACAGTTCTCGATATACTGTTGGACTGCATCTCACTTGTGTGTCGCTTTGGATAAAAGTGTCTGCCAAATAAGTAAATAAATGTAAATGTAAAAGTATACTGTTACGTCCCAAGATCTAGGGGTATCCTGGATGTAACATAAATGTGAGGCTTCCCACTCTTCCCAATCCCAAGCAAGGCCAGAACAAAACAAATACATTTTAGCATTTTATTATCTTCAGAGATGAGCAGTGCCCAAAACAACCAAAACACTTTAAAACAAAAAGTAAAGAAAAGACAAAGCTCTAAACTAGGCTTCTAATTCCAAAAACAGGAGAAAAAAGGTGCAAACAAAACGGGCTTCTCACTCCTACTCACTGCTAGTAGCTGACAGAAGGAAGCTACAACAAAGAAACTTTGTCATAAGACAATAATCAAAATAACTAAGGTAAGCTACTTACTAGTCTAATTTGCTCACTATAGTGTTCTTCATTACCTGCATACACTCACACACACACTCTAAGGGAGGAGAACAGCTGACAGTGCAGGCTGAGAGATAAATACATACAAAATATGAGGGGTCATAACACCTCCCCACCCAAGATCAAACATTTTCCTCTTAAGAAAAAGGTTTGATTCAATGAGACCTAGAGAGAGCATCAGCCATAACGTTTTCTAAACCCTTCTTGTAACAAATCTCAATATTAAAGTCCTGCAGTAATAGGGACCAGCGTATGAAACGCTGGTTGCTGTTTTGCATCCGAATCAAGAACACAAGAGGATTGTGGTCAGAGAAGACGATGGTTGGCACAGGGCTAGACCCAAGGTACACTTCATAGTGTTGTAATGCTAACAGTAATGCTAAAGCCTCCTTCTCAATGGTGCTTCAATGCAGCTGGTGTTTTTTGAACTTTTTGGAAAAGTAGCTAATGGGGTGATCAATGCCTTGCTCATCCTCCTGCAGGAGCACTGCGCCCGCTCCAAGCGCTCTGGCATCTACTTTCAGCTTAAATGGACGAGTGAAGTTTGGGGCTGCTAGCACAGGCGCACTGCAGAGGAGAACTTTGGCAGCCTCGAAAACCAACTGACATTCCTCTGACCACTGGAAAGGAGTTTTGGAACTTGCCAAACTAGTCAAAGGAGCTACCACATCTGCAACGTTTTTGCAGAACGCACGGTAGTACCCAGCCATTCCTGGGAAACGACCTCACAACGCGTTTTAAGAGCTGGGAAATCTGAAAAAGGTTGCCCGTACTTTGGCAGTAACTGGGCAGACACAACCTTGACCTACTTGTTTACCCAAGTAGGTAACAACAGCCTTCCCGAACTCACACTTGGCCAGTTTGAGGGTAAGGGAAGCAGCACACAAACGTTCAAAAATCACATTGAGGGTTCTCATGTGATCAGACAGATGAATAGGCCAGTATGTCATCGAAATAAACTTGGAAAAGAAGCGGGGGCATTTCTCAGACCAAATGGCATGACCGTATACTGGAGGAAATGATCGGGAGTGACAAAAGCACTTATTTCAGAGGCGCGCTGAGTCAGTGGGACCTGCCAGTAGCCTTTTAGTAGGTCGAATTTGGTGACATACTTTGCTGACCCTACCCTTACTGAAGGGAAGATATTCAGGGCTATTCAGGGCTGCTGTATTAGACTGCATTAATGTAAGCTAGGTGTAACTAAAAAACTGTTTATTAATCAGTAAATATTGATACACTAAGCCTTCATCTAAACTTACATCTTGCAAACATCTTTAGTGTTTAAAAAGTATGTGACAGTTTGGGAAATCGGTTGGAGCTTTAATCAGATGTTGGGCCAGCATGTATGTGTGCGTGTGTGTGTGCTGTTGATGGTTTGTTTCCTCTACAGCAGATGCTGGTTAACTTTTTATCGGCAGTGAAAAGCTGCAGGTCCATAATAACAGGCCTGTTTACAGACCGATGTGGTCTCCCTGTCTGGTTCTAATGTACTTTTCAATGCATGCTAAAGTCCTGGATAGGAAGGAGGGGGAATGACGTGAGAAGAAGCGAGCAGAGTGGAGAGATCTGCTGCTGCTGTGTGTGTGTGTGTGTGTGTGTGTGTGTGTGTGTGTGTGTGTGCGCGCGCGCTTTAGTGGATTTCATTGCTGGATTTCATTTGGACATGGAAGTTCACTGGTTTCCCTCACTGACAACAAAAGAAAACATTACACACCACACCATTCATTTCATTCCTCCTGATGTTTCTGTGCTTATGTCTGTATGTCAGTGTCTACCTGATATTAGCATGCTGCAAAAAAACTTTTTGCTTGTGGAATCTGTGTGCATTAGGGATTTATTTTTTATTTAAAGGTAAAGTGTGTTTTACTTAAGGATTTATTGAATGAAATATAATGGTATAAAGACCCTGTTATTACCTCAGAAGGAGCCATTTATATCTACATACACTGCAGGTCCCCTTAAATAGACGTCGCCATGTTGTGCTGGCATGTTTCTACAGTAGCCCAAACAGACAAACTGCTCTACAGAGCATGTTATGGAAAGGGAGGGGTGAGTCATTCATGTGGTGTCGAAATAATCAGAATCTTTTTTTCCTCCTTAAATCTTTATTGCAAAAAGAGAAATAAAGTGTAAATCCTTCAAGAAGCATACAGAACTTTGATTCGTGCAGACATGTAATGTGTAACGGTTAGTTTGCTGTCCATGTAGAGTGAACTAGATGTCTGCGTGTTGTTATATGCTCTGATAATGTTAATCCAACACATCCTTGTAGTAGCGTCGATGCTGATTACACATTCCGATTTAAGAACACATGAGCACACACTGAAGTCGGAAGACTGACTTCACAACGGGAAATGGGACCATCCGCGGAGCACATGAATGCATCATGAGTCACTGGCTGCAATTCACAACCCTCACCACTAGATGTTACTAAAACTTGCACACTGAACCTTTAACCTTTTATGTAACCAGGAAAGAAGACGCATTGAGATAAAATCTCTTTTAAGGGCGCCCTGGCCAAGAAAGTCAGCAGGACAGTGAGTTTATTACAGTCATAGAATGACAACAATATAATTAAGACTTTAATTAGGATTATTCTACCAAGTATACTTATATTTTATATTAATCAATTCATCTTTTTGTCTATAAAATTTCAGACAACAGTGAAGAATGCCTGTCCGTTTCAGCTTAACACAGCCCAAGGCAATATTTTCAAACGTCCAACAGTCCAAAATCTAAAGACATTCAGTTTACTATCATCAATCATTTACAATAATTAAATCCTCACATCTGAGACCAGCAAAAATGACAATTGTTGATAAAAAGATTATTTGATCAATAACAGTTGCCGAGTAATTTTCTGTTTATTGGCTAATAAGTGAGTCAACTCATCACTGCAGCTCTATTGTGTATGTAAGTTTTCATGCGTCTGCCTTTGTATGTGCATGTCTGTGCAGCTAATTTATGTGTGCATGCTTGTGTGCATCTGTTTGACGTCCCTTCTTTCACCCTGGTCATGTTTGCGCCTGCACTTTTTTATGTGTATTTGTCTGTCAACTCATATTTCAGTGTTTTGTATTTCTGTCCTCCTCGCAGATGAGCGTGGGCCCCAGCTGAGACGGCAGAGGTATCACTTCAACATCAGCTCTCTGGAACGAGACGGGCTCCTGGGGGCCGAGCTACGCATCCTGAGGAAGCGCCTGTCTGACCCTCGCAGAGCCTCAATGGGATCCACAGCCGCTGATGGAGGAGGAGGGGGTGGAGGAAGCTTGTCCCCATGCCTGAAGCTGTACACCTGTGCTTCAGGTAAACAACAGGCAGTTCTGCTCCAGACAAAGACCGCGGAGGATCTGCTGAGTGGAGGCGGATTTGGCAGCAAATGGGAAGTGTTTGACATATGGAAAGTCTTCAAGGGCTTCAAAAACCAGCAGAACCAGTATTCCCAGCAGCTGTGCTTTGAATTTGAGGCCCTGGAGCACAGAGGCGGTCGGCCCATGGACCTGCGCACTCTGGGGTTCGCCAGATCCGGCAGGACCAACAAGGAAAAGGCCTTCTTCCTGGCGTTTGGCAAAAGCAAGAAGCGTGACCTTTTCTACAACGAGATCAAAGCGCGGTCAGGGTATGACAACAAAACCGTCTACGAATACCTGTTCACTCAGCGACGAATGCGCCGAGCTCCTGCTGCAAGGGGGACTAAAAAGCCGCAGCAGCAGCCGCCACAGTCCCTCCCCCAACTACCGGTGGTGAAGACGCAGACAAGGTCGCGGTGTCACAAGAGACGACTCCACGTGAACTTCAAGGAGATGGGCTGGGACGACTGGATCATCGCACCGCTGGATTACGAGGCTTTTCACTGCGATGGCGTCTGCGACTTCCCCATCCGCTCGCACCTTGAGCCGACTAACCACGCCATCATACAGACCCTGATGAACTCCATGGACCCAGATTCGACGCCGCCCACCTGCTGCGTCCCGACACGACTCAGCCCAATCAGCATACTCTACATCGACTCCGCCAACAACGTCGTCTACAAACAGTATGAGGACATGGTGGTGGAGTCGTGCGGTTGCAGGTAGCAAAGAAAGGCGAGACGAAGCGCCAGAACAAAAGACAGTGTCTGCCCTTCAATTTGAGGAAAGATGGATTTGTTTGTTAATATAATAACCAAACCTAAAATGGGAAGATCAACACTGAGAACCATTCAGTTGACTGGGACCGAACTCACTGCTATGTAACAGCCATTACTCTTCACAGTCAAGTGGACTGTCAGACTGCATACCAAAGGCTGTTACACACTGACTAAACAGAGAAAGATAAACTCGTTGGAGGTGATGCTCTGTAACACTCACTCACTGTTGATGTTGGTGGCGATGAGAAAGATGCATTTGAGAGAAGCGAAACACTTTTTGGATTAAAAAAGACTTCTCACATTAGGCTCAAACTGATTTTTACTGCTTCTGTTGTCTCTCTTCTGACTTGTATCTGTGTCCTGATTGGTGTAAAAAGTTTGTGTGTAACAGAAATGCTATTGAACTATTAGTGAACTATACTCAGAAATGCCCTTTTTCCAGCACTTATCTGCCATTGTGCCTTTGCCCATTCAGATGTACAATGAAGAGTAATTTGTGTGTCTTGTCCAAGATGTTTTTATGAAGCATGTAAGGAATTCCTGATGTATAAATACAGGCCAGTGATGAAGTGCATATCTGACCTGCCCCAAATGTGGGAAAGTTGCATAAACTACTCTTCAATAAAAAATGTCTAATTGACTGAGCTCCAAACTCCTATCAGTCTGAACGTCTGCCCCCAAGGTTCCGTAGACTAAACTATCAGAGGAATTTGCAAGATTCCCTTATGCCAAATCACAATTTAACCCGAGAATGACTGTGTTTGGCTTGGAACACAAGTGTTTCTGTTGCTGGCTTCACAAACTGCTGCAAGGGCATTTCCTTCTCAATTACTGTCTGCCAAATATTTGGAACAAGAAACTTGGATTTCTATCTGTTATGTTCTGCATCTCAGTTAATGCGATCATTACCCAGGATCTGGATCAAACACTCCTATTCCCTGTAGGCTTGAAAGGCAGCTGTGGACTTTGTATACGCGTCCTCAACAAGCACGGCGGTCAGCTTGAATTCCCGCCAAGGTGTTTGTAAGAACTTCTCAAGCTACTCCTGCAGCTTGCTGTTAAAACGCTTGTTATCCATTCATCTTCTATACCTGCTTATCCGTCGCCTGTCAATCACAGAGCACACAGAGACAAACAACCACTCAGACTCACATTCACACCTAAGGGAAATGAGAACTCACGCAGACATGGGGAAAACGTGCAAACTCCACATAGAAAGGCCTGGGACGACTGAGGTTCAAACACCAGACCTCCTTGCTGAGGCAACAGTGGTAACCACTTTACCGCCGTGCCGCCCTAAATGCTTATTATGTTCTAGCTAAATATTTCAAAGGCTAGTTTTTTTTGGTCTCAATCCTCATGCGTGAGCTTGATAGTAGGCATGTAGATTAACTTGCTCTCGTCAGAAAAAGTGGTTGAATCTTGAATCGGAAATCCGGTTATTAAGAAAGTGACATACCTGGGAGCCAATCAGAAAGCTCTAATTAAGTACTTAAGAGTACAATATTAATCAACGCACGGCAGAATATGAAGCCATCAGATGCCAGGTCTATACGGCTTGTGTTGGATTAAATTTATATCAGTGATAAAATAACAAGTAACCAATTTCCCAATTTCTTTTTACAAAAGAAGATTATTTATCCCTATAACCCCACCATCAGCAACATCAGTGTCCCTTTTCCTAGTAAAATAAATGCACCAAAATAGAGCTGAAGTTTTCCCTGTTGCCCCCTGAACTCTCAGTTAGCACACTGAGCTCACAGAGAAGCTAATACTGCCCTTTATTGCACAAGACAGGTGTGAACAGCAGGGCTGCAGGAACACAGAATGAGTCTTTTTGTTCTGATTTTGGCAAATATGTGTGTGAATTTGGAAAACACCAAGCATATGAATGGCCAGTGGAGAAGTGGAACATGCTGTAGGGGTGGTGTGATAAGGTTTAAAGTGATGTTTTGATAAGCTTCTTACAAAAACTGCAAGTGATGTCAATGGAAAATCACGGCAGCTGCATTAAAGCCTTCAGGGGAGACCGTTTGTTACTTCATTGCACTAGGCAACTCTAAAGTAAACAGAAATGACAGTATAAATGTTTGAAGGTTATTTGAACTAACCTAAAAGTTATGTAATTGTGATGTCTGTACATTGTCCACAACATTCACATTTCCAACCAGGCTGGTTTCTGAAGCTTGATTCAAAAGGAGGGTAAAGTGTCTCACTTCTGGCATCACACACATTCTCTCTAGCAGAGCTACTGTTTTGTTTTCGACATAAAATTAGGTGCAGCTTAAAGTGTCACTTAAAGGTAGAGACCGCAACTCTATCACAAGCGTCAGGCCTCTTTGTTGAGTTTTTTTCCTTTCTTCAAACATTTTACAGCCCAGAAACCAAACAGTACATTGACTTTTGCCCCAGACACAGTCAGTTTAAAACGTACCTTCACACCCCTAATGTCATGACCCTTCAGGCACATCCTCATGGCCTGTTTTGTACAGACAGCTTTATTGTTGCTATGTAACACATACAACAGCAGCAACATTTCTCGGTCTGCGTTTATTTCAGTCAGCAGCGAGCGCACCTGTCTGCCTGTAAAGCTCCTCAACCATTGGATGAAACCATCTGTGCAGAGCGAATGGCTTGTTTCTCTTGGAGACGGAGTGATGTAAGCATTTCCTTTAATCAAAGCTGAGGCATGCCAGTGTTATTGCCCCCTCGCCCAAAACCTGAACTGACAAGGCAAAAGGTGGGGAGAGGCTGAGCAGGACTGGAGTTAAAAACAACTTTAAAGAATTTAATCTTGCAGCTCCACAGCAGGAATGTTGGATTAAAAATTACAAACTGCAGAGCATTTAAAGGAAATTTTACAGTTAGTGTCTGCACAGATGTATTAACACAGACTTTGAAGACAGGAGCATGGGAATACCAGCTTTGTTTAGTTTGTGTTTAATCCCAGTGCAGCTCATTTGTGCTCAGGATACAAGTTGAGTTTGGAAAGCACTTGTTGCAACTGTCCAGGAGGTAATGTGTCATGTAGCAGCTGCAGAGCCCCCTGTTTTCTCATTAACACAATAAGAACTATGTATTTTAAGCCATGCTGCTGTTGCAGTTTCCATTATCACCTCTAGAGATGTAAACTTAAGATTTATATTTTGTTTATCGTGAATTAAATGAAAAAATATGTGGTTACATGGTGGTAATTTATGGCGCTTGTGATTTGTGTGTTCGATAACAATCAGCTCATTCTTTTCAGATGCGGGAAGGAACCCATTCACTCAGACTTGACAGACCTAAATTTAGCATACAGATAAGAGGAATTCACAGTGATATTTCCAGCCTGAGACCCACTTTAAAAATTCAAGGCCTAACCCTGGGGTGACATGGCTTCTTTTAGTATGTTTAAAAGAGCAACCTCATTTAGAAAGATACATATGAGATCCACCATAGAGCTACAGAACTTAGACAGATGAACACTGGTATATTTCAAGATGTCATGTGTAACTTTTACTTTTGCATAACAAGACAAAGAGTTTTCAGCTATGCTTGCAGCACTGTGTACTTAGGCACAGAGGTGATTTGAGCTAAAAGCTAACATCGGCAAAATAACATACACAGTGACAATGCTACCGTGCTAACGCTAAGCAGAAGTTTGCCATTTGCTAATTAGCACAAAATTCAAAGCACAGGGGGATGTCACAACTTATAATTTTTGATGATGGAATTAACTGAAAAGTCAGAAGTTATTACAACCTGCATGTCTCAACGAAATTTCATGGCCGTCCATCCAAAGGTTGTTGAGACAATAAGTCTGGACCCGAGTGGTGGACTGACATGGTAATCCCTAGAGCCACACTGGTAGCTTGGCTTTAAGAAATGTAAAGTGTTTCATTGAAATACCATAAAACTTATGTTAAAAGCAGAGTCCCCTTTATTTGCCTGGTGTGGCTCAACGTTTTGACAAATAAACACAGGTCTAAATTAGAAGCCCGGTCTGTTTTTATAGAAGTTCTCTGGATGTATAAAACCTGTGAAAGCCCACCGGGTCACCTACTTGAGCTAGTGCATACATCAGTTAGATTCATTCGTTCATTTTATGGAAACATGAGCACCACAATTATTATTCATTCTGATTTGCCAGCATTGATATGTCCACAAGGATCCAACAATCAAAAGAATCAAACTGGTTAGATAGATAGATATTTATTTAGTCTTTGCCGAAATTCATTTTGTGTCATACAGCAAACGTCAGATAAACAACAACAACAGACTAACAACCAGACAACTATACAAGTTATACTAAGGTGCAGCTCCCCGACACCCCAAGATTCAGCTCTGTTTTATTATCTCATTGTTTGTTAAGAAATCAGATACTAGTAGGTACAAATGACCTGCAGGCCCGGGTGGTTCGGAGAAATGGTACCCTGTACCTTCTGCCTGATGATAACAGCTCATACTCAGCTCATACATACTCATACATACAAATAGGGGATGTGATACATCTCCAATAATCGCATGCCCCTTCCTCACCAATCGGGACTCGCAGGTCGTCATCATGGTAGTTTGCTGTACTCCGGCAATCTTACTGGACATATAAACTATCCTATGCAGTTTATTACAGCTTAGGGGCATCAGGTGCAATGTTTTCCAATTTAGCCATTGTGTCATATATTAGTCCTGCCGCAGTCTTGATGTTTGCAAGGGACTCAACGTCCACCACAGTGACAAACACCTGACCAAACTCCCTGCGCAGGTAGAATGGCCTAAAGGACAAAGATAAAAGTTCAATGTTCTCCGGACAATAAGAGGCTCTGAGTTTGTAGTTGCCGCTCCACTTCTCATTTATATAGAAACACACACCCCCACCCCGTTTTTTACCCAGTACCTGTGAGTCTCGATCCAACCTTGTAGGGTCACTCAACCCTGTGACTTGTAGTGTAGAGTTTGGTTTATCGTAAACATTTATCCAAGTTGAAATAGCTACCATCATAGACTACCATTTCTCTCCCTCTCTCGTTCTCCCTCCTAATTTTATACAAGTAATGCTCACACTGTTTCAAATAAATAAAAAATTTATAGTATTTCCCATCTTTGCAGAGCAAAAGTTTTGTGGGAACAGAATTCAAGGCCTGTTCCATATATAGGCAGGGCGAGTTCAGCGATTGAAGCAAATATAAGCTCAGGCCGTTAGTTAAACTTTTATGGTACTAATTTTGAAAAATAAAAGTAAAAAAACATCCTTTGCATGTTTCAACAATCTTTAAAATCCATCTGTTAAAATTCATCAAGATCAGAGTTCTGGTCACAGCAAATCCTGAAGTCAACTGGTCCCACAAATGAAACTTCATCCCTGCTACTGCAGTCCTGCGAGCAGAGTTAAAGGAGTTATTGGGTAGAGTGTTGTTAAATGGACATTGGGAAACAGAATTCCCCACAGAGAGAGCGTCTGGCTTTAATTATCACACATTTCTACACATTAGCCCATCTGAGATACAGGCCCTGGATTTTAGAAACAGCTGATTTAAATCTCCATGTATGATTTATGGTGACTGATATTTCCTATGATTTATGGCGGTGTAAAAGTCTGTTGGCTGCACAGGAAATGAAACATAATTAGGAAATTGACTTCACGGTATGCTTTCTTGTATGTTTTTTCCTTTTATCACGGAATGGGATTGTTTAAGGAGAAACACAACGGCTTGGAAGCTAGGCTGTTTAATATCACTGATCTTACAGGAAATACATCATATCTTCAGTTTTACATTTTCCTTAGTTCTCTATCTATATTTACATGTGTTTGTAAAGACATATATGCGTTAAGAAAACTATTTAAAACAGTTATTTCCCTAATTAACAATAAGCTTAGACTATTATCTTTTATATGCCTCTAATAAAATGTTAAGTTGCCTGACAACATCTCAGTGACAAAAGATTTCAGACAGTCGCCTCGATTGGCCAAAAAATTTACTCTTTTGCGCTTTTGATTTGTACGGATTTAACAAACGAGATGTAACGTGTTAAATAGTTGGCTTTAGATGTGCTGTGTTGGCAGATTTTGTTACCCTTGGTCAGAGCCAGGCTGGGTCCTCCGATTTCAGCCTTTGTGCTAAGCTAAGCTAACCTGCTGCTAGCTGTAGCTTCATATTTACCGTATAGACGTGTTGTCATCTAACTCTCTGCAAGAAAGCACATGACCATGTTTCCCAAAATTCATAAAATCAGCGGTCAGGCTCAGCTGTCACACGCTGGTCATCAACTCGTTCAGTCAACCCAGGTTTTCCCAATCCTGCCGTGAGTGCGTTCACAAAAACATACTAAGATGTGTTCGTATTGCATGTATGTACATTTTAGCCTGTGTGCCGGCACTTTAAGAACTTCTTGTCACTTCAAAAATCACATGAATTTATTTAACATGCTCAAAAATGTTCCGAACATTGTTTTTAATTAACTTCATAAAGCAACAAAACAAAGAACAAAAAAACATTTGTAAAAAGGTGCTCAGATAGTGGTGGACAGATTGCATCTGAACCATTCAGTTCAACAGTTACTGAAATCTCACCCACATTACCTGCACCCAAATAGCAAAAGGTGGGGCGCTACATGACTGTTTAATCAGAGCACTGATCTAAACATCTCAAGAAGTTCAGCTATAGTGTTCGTCATTAGTGTTGTTGGCCACGGCAGTCGCTCAGCTGAAGCAACGTCCTTCATGTTTGAGCAGAAAACAACCAGAAATAAAAGATTTTGTTTGCAAACAGAATAAAGAATATGAAGGTCAGAATCCTCAGCACCTGCTGAAGCAACATATTAGGTGTAAAAACGATAGTGTTACCTTAAAGTCATTGTTTGAATGATGAATGGTTGTAGAGGCAATGAATGGTGAACCTAAAATACATTTCTTCTTAAAATGGACATTATGGAAATGGTATCTCCATATTATTCCATAATACATCCCTATTGGCCCCATGCCACGGCCGTCCCCACCCGGCCTTTGGCCCACAGAGCCCATAATCAGATTATGTCGTAGTGAACTCTGCGGTTCGCCTTCTCAAGGCCAGAAATCTGTAATAAAGCAGAAACATGGATTGTTTACGGGTTTCGGGTTTCCATGTCGCTGTTTGTGGCCGGGAATTGTGGCAAAGTGTCAGGCCGAATCCAAGTGAACAGGATCAAGAACCCGGTTGAAGAGGGCTATTGTGTTTCCCCGCTCAGATGTAATCAGAAACACATGCCCTCCATCTTCAACGCTGAAAAGGGAGGCTTGTTTAACAGGGCTTAACTTCATTGAATACAACTTTAATGGTCGCCCCTATTACACGATTTAACAATGATGTTTCGGGAAGGATTGCAAAAGTATGTGTGTGTGTGTGTGTGTGTGTGTGTGTGTGTTCTCACCCGGAAGGCTTGTGTTCCCACCGAGAACTCCAGACCTGAACAACTTAGGTTAGTGTTCCACATCTCCTTCTCACAAACACACCTCCTCCAATTTTATGGAGTGCTGCTTTCTCATAATCACACATTTTCTTCCACTTTATCTGTAATCTGATTATTGTTCGTTTTAGCAAGTAACTACTGTTGGAATAATTATCTTTCTAATCAATTTTTAACTTCAACACCGTCCAGAGAAAAGCACGGTAGATTTATGATTTACACTTGGCAAGTGTCCCGAATCCAGATAGAATCTAAATGAGATTTAATGCACTAGTAAAAGTACTCATTCTGCTGCAAAATGGTAAGTTGCATTTAAATGCTGTAGATGACCCAAAAGCAAGACATGGACTAGGGGATATGGGAAAGACTCAACAATCAGGTTTATTCTCCAAATTACATCAAAAGGTGCCAGTGAGGAAGGCAGGCAGAGTGAGCTGAGCTGAGCAGGCAGCAGGAAACAGATGAGACTCTCTGGGAATGAACCTGAGGCATAGGCAAAAACAAAATAAGGCAGGAGGCCAGCAACATGAGGGCGAACACAAGACCAGAGACTGGCTGCAGTGCGAAAACCACAATCGTTAATACAATCGTCTCTTCACATGTAAATATCACTTCATGTCATATCATGCATGAACCTGGTACACTGCACATTTTTGTTGTTAATTGTAAGTCATTGTTGTTCCATTGTTATTTTTATTGTCAGTTTTATTATTTTTCTCTATTCTTCTGTTATTCTTAGAAAACTTGCATTTGTTTATT